CAGGTCACAGTGACTGAACTTCCTTCCTCCACACAGTCAGCAGGGACAGTACAACTGATGATTGTACCTGAACAAATGCCTTCGACACTGCACAACAAACACCTACTGTACCCAAACATGCAATAAACTGACCAGAAATTGGTTGGAGTTCCATTCCACCAGCTATGGCATAGGAATTTTGAATGCTGAAGCCATAGGTGTGAACAAAAATGGCCGCATTGGCATCAGAATGGAAGAGAGAATGGTACTGATTGTGAAAGTCCTTTGTAATGCCATATCCACATATCTCTCCTGTGCTACAGTAGATGGATTGCCACTGAGCATCAAGTTCCAATGGGGCATTGTCCAACATAATTCTGTCCGTTTGAAAGTATCTTGCTGGAACAGAAACACTGAAGACAATAGGTCCAGATGAAATGTTGACTGGAACAAGGTGGTAAAGGCGTAAATACTGGACAATTGGAGGAATGACACTCATGAAGGGATCTCCAAACTCTCCTTCACTGCATGATGCATCCCTTGTGTAGCCATAGCTGTACTGAGCTAGTAGGACAGGATTGGAGGATTCCAAGCAGCAATATTTTGGGACATAGCTACAGGTCACTACAACCTTCAGAGTTGGTTTTAAACTGTCCCCAGTTAGGATTCTGTGCAGAATTTAGAGTTGTTGTATACTCTACTGTTGCAGTACTGCTTCCAGCATCCACACATGTGATGGTAATGTCAGTGTTGTCCTGGAGGGTTGCAAAACGATACAAGTCTCCACTTCGTCTTCCACTGAGAGGGTTGAGCAGGAACGTGTAGCCCCATGTTGTATGTGGAGGTATCTGAGTTGCCGTATGGTCGCATGCGGTCACTCTCTCAGTAACTTGTCCACACTGATGACCAGAAATTGCTACCAATGGCTTGTTCCCCTTTTATCAGAGTCCCAGTAAGGTCTTGGTTTGTTATTGAGATCAAGAGCGTCTGTTGTGCAGGTATTAGGTTGTTGTTTGTGTTGACTCGCCAGTTTAATGACATTTGCGATGTTCCTTGACCAAATAGCGTGTGTTGAAAGATGCCACCTATTGCTATTTCAACCTGTGTGTCATCATCACAAGTAATGACAAGAAACTGGCTGGATCTTGGTGTGCTTACTAACTGGTCCGTCGTGTCTTGATTAGTGGAGAGAGCGAGATATTCATATGTGCGAAAATCTGACGGTACTGTCATTCCATCACATTGGAGAGCAACAAATCCGTCAGTAGAGTGGATTTCATCGTTGATAACTAGGATGGCTATCTTCTTGTTGTTACTAGTTTGCACCCAAATAGCTTTATCCCTCTCCTGAATAGTTGTCACATAGACATCATCAGCTACAAAGTTGACTCGTGTTGGTGCACTTGAATCCACTGTGTATGTGCTGGACCTTTGTACACCACCAAACATGGTTGTCACATCAAACTCCACCACTCCAGTCTCACTGGTTGTCACTAGTAGGTATGCATCAGGCACAGCGTTCCCTGCAGCTCTTGGGAGAACGTTTTGCATGAATCCCACCTGGAAGTTTGTTCCCTCTGATCCTGGAGTAGATTGTTCTGCGGAATCAACGATGTAAAAATGGTTATAGCTAAATAATCGCATACGTGAGCTTTCAAGTTTAGCTTTCATGAGTGGTGAAAGACAAAGACCCGATCAGGCCAAGAAGCTTACACAAATCATTTAATTGCGAGTAGCTAACTATGCCTCCGTCACTGTTTTCCCCAAGTGTGGCTAGCGTACGACCACGCGTAGCTATTATAATTATATAGGCTACAAAATTGATAAACAAACTATTGTTCAATCTCCCTGATCTCACCACAAGCAGCAAATAACAGTGAAGCCAGCAACAACGCCTTCTGTTGTATATAATTGGCTCATCTTCTTCAGTTCTGATGCAGCGATCCACGCGCGCTCAGAGACTTTCACTTCTCTATAGGTAATTATGTGTGCTATGGTATCAGGGCATCTACTACACAACTGTTTGTCTGATCACTGATGATTACTACAAAGTAACTAAGCCATGTAAAAACACACCGTTTACCCTGGCAGAGGGACAAACAGCTTGCTGTTGAGGCATACTCTGTGGCTAATTTCCACATAGGATTGACCGTGATGGAGTGATAAAGGTTGCAGATTATGGACTAACTGAGGACATGTATGGCACCAACCACTTCCGTCGGGAGAGGGGAGAGGGTGGGAGTGAGGAGAAGGTGCCCATCAGGTGGATGGCTCCTGAGAGCATTGAGGAAGACATCTACACTGAGGCCACTGATGTGGTACGTTGAGATAATACACACCATGACTACTGCTCTAAGGTGTGGTGATTTGTCTCCAGTGGTCATTTAGAGTGACGGTGTGGGAGATCTTCACTTGTGGGAGGATCCCATACACTGGTATTCCAGCCATGGGTCTCCTGAAGGAACTGCAGAGAGGACAGAGACTGAAGATACCTTACAATGAGGCCTGTCTGGATGAAGTGTAGCTACATTTAGCCCACAAAACTGGACCTGGTTACAATCTCTTGACAGATATGAGATCATGATGAGTTGCTGGTCACTGGACTCCAATGCTCATCCGCTGTTCAAGGATTTGGTGGGCAGGTTCAGTGATCTTCTTGAGAGGGAATCAGACTACCTGGAGTTGTCTCAGTCTCTCTGCTGGAAGGGGGCTGTCTCTCACACCCCTCCACCCTCTTCTCCACCTACTGAACAAGACACTACAATAACTGAGGAAGAACCAATCTGAGAGTAAATAGATAAACACAAACTGCATGAAGCCAGCTGCTTTGTGTAAGCATACTTATTAAAGTGCTTTTCAGGTCATAGTATCTGAATGTTACAATATCTGATTGAATTTCATAATGTTCTTGAATATGAAAGTAACATAAACTTGGTAGGTGCCGGGAGAGGCCAGCCTAGATTACAACTGGCTGATTTTCCAGAAAGAGGGTGGAGTCACTACCGTGCGTCGAGCTTTCTGGAACCGCGTGCCCCGTAGTGCCCTTGGAGCACGCTCTCGGCTTTCTACTGCGCATAGCTATAATATATCAGCATCTAACTATAATTATATCATAAAGGACCTCCAGCAGCTCAACTTTAGCTAGTCTCAAATTGCAGAAATGAGGTCACCAGATGGTGGTTTCATTTTATATTGATTGCAAGACAGGATAGTTTAGTTCAGAATAGGTGTGGTAAATAGACTGGGGGGCTACACTATTATTTATCGTCCTCCTCGCTGAAGAAGTCAAATTATGGAAGTGTAGCCACAGGATTTACTTACACTCTTAAACTGCAGAGTAAGTGTTTTAAGTCCAGGGCATCTCTTATTTCCTGGAGTGCAATTGTGTTATTAATTTTTCTCTGTCGTTCTCTGACCTCATTATTGAATGGTAGGTTACATTTTATTGCACATCCTGCGAGAATGCTATGCACGGGCAAACTTTTACTGTTGCTGAACATTAGAGAACCACGTGCATTCTTCTCTGCCAACAAAAAAGTGGCAGAGAAGAATGCGTAGTCGGGATAAAAATGGCCGACTACGCATTAGCCGTATATACAATGCTTGAAGCGCTCTAGCTTTGCAACGGAGCATTTTCAGAGAAAACCGCACAAACCTTCTGACCTTGCCCGTTAAGTAGGTCGTATCGTTTGTGAGACGAACGAACATTCGAGAAGTGAGATGTAGAGTAACAGACACACAGACCAGCACTGAAGTGCAAACCCTCGGCGCACTGTGACGCGCACGCGTAAGTAAACGCATGCGCCGTACCACTAATTGATGGGCTGGGTTTAGTTTGAGCTGTTACTCGTGGTCTCTTGCCAGCTCGCGCAGAGTCTGACGCGGGCTAACTACACTACTAGATAGCATGCGAGAGGCCCTGCGTTGCATCTTCTGGTGCCTCCGAAGTACGCAGAGCACGACCGTGGTAAGCCATCCCGTCCGTTGCATATTTGCATATTAGCTCTTTCGCGCTCTAGCTTTGCAACGGAGCATTTTCAGAGAAAACCGCACATAAGTCTGACCTTCATTGCCCGTTAAGTAGGTCGTATCCTTTGTGAGACGAACAAACACCCGAGAAGTGAGATTGAGAGTAACAGACAGACACCCAACTACAGTACCCTCGCTGCGCATGCGCGCCGAAGGTAATGAAAAGCTGCAAACCCTCGGCGAACTGCGCACGCGCGGTACCACTACTTGATGGGCTGGGCTTTTAGTATGCGTTTACTCGAGGTATCCACGCTAGTAGCTCGCGGAGAGTCTGACACAGACTATAGATAGCATGCGGGAGTCGACACACGCCCCTTCGTTGTGACTTCTTATGCCTTCAAGATACACAGACCAAGCGGCTAGGGGTGCGGAAATTATGCCGGGCATAATTTGGGAATTTTTTGGGGCTGCTCGAATCCGAGAATATTCCAGGAATAATTTCAATACTAGGAAGGCGCACGCGCATATTTTTCCTCGCTAGTCGCGCCAATGTGTCAGATTGAGGCCGCTCGTGCGCGCGCTCTACTGACTGCGCGCGAAGCCTGACTTCCTACGAATCTGCGCGCACGGCGGAAGCTAGACTTCCTACGAATGACAGAAGTTATATTTCCTTTTGGTGACTAATTGACATTCCTAAGCGTGACTAATAGACGACGTACATACGCCAATTATTATACTGTGTTCAAAATTTCAAGCATAATTTGGTCAAAATAGGAGCATAAATTGCACATAATGGAAGAATCCAGGAGTAGAATAAAATCAAATATTTGAGCAGGCCCGGTCGCCTGTTCAAACTATAAGCGCATGCGTCTTTTCCGCAGCGATAAAAATTGCCGACTACGCATTAGCCGTACAATGGTGGAAGCGCTCTAGCTTTGCACGGAGCATTTCCAAACTGATTCTTATTACCCGTTTATTACGTCGTATCGTTTGTGGGACGAAGAAACCATCGAGAAGTGAGTAGGAGCATGGACAGACAGACAGACAGACCCAACTGCAGTAACCCTCGCTGCGCATGCGCGCCGAGGGTTAACTAGTACCTAACTACGGTACCCTCGCTGCGCATGCGCGCAGAGGCTAACTACAGTACCCTCGCTGCGCATGCGCGCCGAGGGTATCCTCAGTCAACCCGCCGAGTCAGCACTTTCTGCAGAACGGCACACTGGCGTTTGCAAGGCTACGAGTGTTGTCCGTGTTACACACTTGGACATATAAACAATCGAGAGATAGCAAGGTCTTGGCCCTCCTAAACACCAGCCAGAGCAACTTCCTTTCGCAGCTATGATACTTGATTACATTATAGCCGCGTGCGCGGACAGCTTAGTGCGCAACCTCCTCCGGTACGAAGCGGTCCCCTTGTCAGAATAAAAAGCTGTCCAACGCGCAGGATCGATCAGTCCGACCCGCCCCTTTTTTTATGCCGCGCACTAGGCTTCCGCTTCCGGTGTGCGCGCAGGGCTGGTGGTATATTATACGGCTGCGGAGGGGGTCACGACTATCACTTCTGCTACGCGAATACGATTGAAGAATGCTCAACAGACTAGTGGAGAAAGTGTCATTGTTGTTGGTTCTGAGTCTCCTCTATTCTCTGGTGGAGGTTTACTCCAAGACCTTTCCTTATGGGTTCTTCATGAGCCAGACTCTGGCCAACCATTCCTATGTGGACCTCAGTCTAGTGGGGACCAGCGATAGTAACAGTCTTCAGTGTATCACTAGCCTGATGACATGTTGCAGTAGTTCTCAGGGTGTTCATCGTGGAGACTGGTATTTCCCAAATGGATCTATGCTGCAATTTTCCAGAGATTTTTTTGAATCACGTGAACCTCAGAGAGTTAGCCTTCGCCATGACAGAAATCCTGCAATAGTTGGTGTGTATCGCTGTGATGTTTCAACAATTAGCATCCATGACAACATCGACACTTCGGTCAGAGATGTTTTGTATGTGGGTCTGTACACCCCTGATCAAGGTAAACTAACTTCACCCTTAATTCACTTGTTATAATTTTTTACCAATTTCATTGCTTTAGGAACAAAATTTCACTGTTGGGAGGTATGGCACTTGATCTTGGCCTACTATTTACGCTCGCCTGTATCTCCACTGGTGGACCTGCTACAACTGTTACCTGGACCAGAGACTCACAGAAGGAACTGAGACTGTGTTGAATGACCCAGTGACTGCACAATACACCCACACTCTGACTCTGGCTATAGCAGGAGTGTACACATGTACTGTAGCTAACAATAAGCCATCTAGTGCTTCAGCCAGCATCACCGTTGAAGGTTTGTAGCTAGAAATTAGACAAACAGCTGCATTTCATAGCCCTATCCCTACTGACACTCTGTGTTCACTACGTAGGCTAACCACATATTTTATGCCAGCCCAAACTGCAGTAACTTATCAAAGCCATTATCGGTTTCCCTGACTTGTATGTAATATGAGTCGATAACCACTTGATCAATACATGCAGTGGCTTCAGCTCCAACTGATGTCAGAGCAATCCAAGATGGTCCCTCCAGTATCAGTATCACCTGGACCCCTCCATTTCTGTTGGGAATTACGACTGGCTACAAGATCTCCTACACTGGAACCAGCAGCAGTGGCAGTGAAAATGTCAATGGCAGCAGCATGTCCACAGTCACACACTCACTGGTCTTAACAGTTGGGACACCTACACTGTATCCATTTTAGGCACTGCAACAGGTGTTGGTTTACCTAGCCCTATTGTTGCTCAGATTGATCCTGTTGGTTTAGGTGAGCCAGGAACAATTCCTCTCCATAGTTATATATATAACCCATCCATGCTTAATGGCTAATCTAAATATAATAGGGGTGGGAGGGGGATGTCCAGGTTAGACGTAATGGGATCAGTTTGTTAGCCTCTTTTGTCCTGAGCCATTGGCCTGAGAACTCTAAAGGAATCGCTGTGTGTGTATCAACTTGCAGCACACTTTTGATGGAATTCGTATACCGCCAAAACTGTGGTTTTTTGGTTTTTGTTGTTCAATTAACAGTTTCCCCGGGCCCTACCCAGCTGCCATTCTTGATACCCAATAGCAAGGCCGCCACTACTACTCTTCTGAAATCTTCATCCCTCTCCCGCATTTCCCTCGACCCCTTTACGTCCCCATCTCCCCTTTTTGCCTCCTCTCTTGTGCTGGGTTTGTATCCACCGGGAAGAGAAATCTTCTAACCATTTGGCTCTGATAGTGATGAGGGAACTATCAGTGTGGCGCTGGTAGTTTTATTGAAAAACTATGGTTCTAACTTATAACTGGTAACGGAGCTCGCGGAGGGGGATTGGTAGGGCTACACAGTGACTGTGAAACGTCTAACACACGGCTTGTTAATATTGCGGGGCCGTAGCAAGAACCCACACTATACATTGGGAACTGGTGGGGCAGATTTATTACTATTTTGCGATCTCATTACCATTTTAATCTCTTTATACTTTTTATCGCAACCAACGGACTCTGACCTACCTTGCTAGTTGTATCTAGCTAAACGCATGAATACAGATCAAGTGAATTTACTTTTCGACCTAAATGGAGATGTAACAGGGTACAAACTCCGCATTACAAGGACTGGTCAGAAGAGAGTCATTGTTGACGTAACGGTGACGAAGGGAGGCCAAACGTAATCTGGAGTGGCAACGCGTCTATACTATTCAGTACGAAGTGGGCCAGCAAGTGAAACATTCGTGGTAACTGGACCATATGGTGACGAAATCACAGTTCAAACTGAGAATGTCAGTCCAATGATTATGGCCATCATTTAAACTACAGTTCCCCTTTTGAAAGATCTCTTTTCTCACTTTTAGTCCAACACAGCTAAACACCCCCCATGATTTGAAGCATCCCAGAATGGTCCCACTCAGTGTCCTAGTGTCTTGGAGTCCAATCCAGGTGGTGCCACTGGCTACCATACATCCACTATGACATAATGATGGTCACAATGGTATTATCAGTCTAAATGCCTCAACTGACACTTCGAATGACTGTCTTATGGAAAAAACACATACAACAATAATCTATGCTTTGCCCTCACAGTAGACCTACCTAACACACAACGCATAGAGCTTCAAATCAGATAAAGTAAGCATCCTTATCAATTCCAATGTGTACCTTCCTACTTTGGTTCTAAATATGTCCAGACCCAGCCCAGGACTTGTGTTGGTTGTCATTAGCTCGCATAGCAGCCACCTACATCTCCCCTCCTCCGGAGTTTGTCCAGTGGGGATGGTGGCAATTTGGGGGTGGTCTATCTGGAGACCCCACTGACAGAGGCAAACGATAGCACCAGTGGTCCTCTGTCTTTCACTAACCTACACACACCAATCCACCAGTTTTGGACCCCTCCACATCTAGACACACTCACTGCACACAGCTAAACCAATTTAGCTGAAGAAATACTTTCTTTTCCCCATCTCGTTTCTACTGGTAGGATCCTCTTTAGACGTAACTAGTAGCCCAGGAACTTTTCCCTCTAACTCTGATTTCATGCAGTACCCAATCCACCGGAGAAGAGACTCGTCAAGAGCGAACATACTGATGCCACGACAAGTTGCCAGACTCATTAACTTACTACTATACTACGCTCATCTTGCGGAATGCCAACCCCTACCCCAACCCCCCCCCCCCCCCACCAACCCCCCCCCCCCCCCCCCCCCCCCCCCCCCCCCCCCCAAATCCCTGCCCCCGATCCTCCCTCACTATCTCCTTCTGCAATTCTGCATGCCATCTTGCATTAAGGGATGGGTAATCTGGGTTGGCCCTCAACCAGTCTCAGAGGGGGGCACCCCCCCATTTGCCCGCACGCTTTTCTGATTTGTTTTGCCCCCCTCGTACCTCGCACGCTTCTCTGATTGGAGTAGCCCCACTCATCTAGTGTAATTGGTGTTGGCCGCGCTGGGCACCACCCCTTTGTTGGGGGGGCGAATGCGTGTGGTTTTGCAAAGCACCACCTCCACCCGCACTAAGCCAACCCTGTCATGCCACCCCGAGCCCCTGGCCCCTTGCAGGTGACAGAGAACGTTCAAGACTCCTCGCCCCCCATTTGTTCCCTTTTTAGTAGTACAGGGTGGGGCCGGGTGGGAGCTTGCTCACTCAGCTGCTCACTCGGCTCTGCTGCTTCTTTCCCCGGAGCAGTGTCCAGCACGCGTGTTGGACTGATTTTGTGCGGGGCATGGCACATCACCAGCGCTTTCTCGCGCCCCGCCGCTCTCTTGTCTTTACCTGGTTTAATGTCCAGTTGAAACCCTAATCAAATACTTGGTCTACGGTTGGACTCAGCAGGAGGAGTGCTGTTTTGTTTGTCACTATCACACTGCAGTAAATCATTGCTGTATTGTTTGTGTTTGAAGTGCTGCAGACCAAGGTCTTTGGCTCCCCAAACCGAGGCATGTTTTAAATAGAGTGTGGGGGCAGACTCATCTAGCTATTATATCATGATCAATATTTCCTCGTATGTAGTAGCTAACCACACAACACATGCTCCCAGATTCTATTTATTTTATTTTGGAAGATGACCTATGAGTAAGCTTTTTCAATGTTGATAATGGAGGCTTGATCAAAAGTGAAGCGTCGGAGACGCCTATGTAGGGATGGCACGCACGGGCGTGATCTTCGTATCAAACGGCCCTCCTTTAAAAAACTCGGGGATAATCGAGCTAACTATCCTTCAAACACCCTCTGACATCTCATCTCACGGGCGACGCGACTCACCTTCTCGGGCACTAACCTCCCCGCTTGTCATTGTGTCTTCCGGGCCCATATCTAGTCTATATATGTCCCCCAACCGTATATACGTACCGTCAAGCACTCCTTCAATCCAACGAAATCCGCTCTTAACGCGATTTCAGGATTAACGGCATCATCATCAATCATCATCATCTTCTTCGTGCACAGACCCTTCAGACCACCTCTTTCTCTTATGGGAACTAGTTGATGCGCTGGATTTCTCCTAAAAAAACGTTCCTGCGATGCTGGATGTGTGCATCGTCGTATTGCTATGTCTTATTTTTCCTTTTTTTCTTGCCGCCTATATCTTTAGCCTGTACACCGTCCGGAGCAATAGCGCTCACATCAACTACGACCCATTTTCACAAAGGATTACGACCTGTCGGTCCAGACAAAACAGACCCCCCGTCACACTCCCCTGCCGGCCCCACGCAAAGCGCGCGCGCTCCGCGCGCGACGAGAGGCGAGGCTCCGGCCCGATCAAAGACGCGTGGTCGCTCGCATAGCCGCTCGCTCGCTCTCGCTCTCCTTTTTCTTTAGCTCCGGTTTGGTGGGGTCGTGGTTTTGTGGCCAGTGACTAACTTTTGTTTGTTTGGTTGCCGTGTCTACCGTTCATCTTCATCCTACGCTGTTCTTTCTTGTCTTCGTCTTTCTGCCGAGTCTGGTTACGACGCGGTTTTTTTTTTTTTTTTCTGTGTTTAACTGTTTCTTCAGCAACTACAGTCCGTCTCACAGTCCTCCTTTCATAGAGCTGGATCTATTTCGTGTATATACTTACTACTACTGCGTGTTTTTTTTTTTAGCAAGTAAGTGTTGTTATATCGAGCGTATAATCCTGTAGGCTCTTAAGTTTCTAGCCTCTGAGGTATACAAAAACCAATCGACCATCCCGCAACCCCCCGTCCGGTGTATTTTTTCACTGGCCCCCCTGTGTCTGTCTAACTTAGATTATGGGATCTGGAGTTGAGGGCCACCTACATCTACTCTTTTGCAATGTAGCTCTGCAAGTTTGTCATGGACGTTAATTTGGCTTATTGCTCTTTTATATTCCAAAGCTGTTTATTATTTATTTATTGTGCGAGGTTGCGCTACAACGACACTCCATCGTGCCTGTTGTCCCACCGGCCCTGAGGCACTTCGCTGCTGCGATTCGTTAGCCGCACCCTGGTCGCTCACTCCTCGCGAATCGCGAACCTCTCCCTTCTAACGTCTTTGCTGTCTTGGCGATACGTATTAGCAACTCTGCTACTCTCCTCTGCCGCCCTGCTGCAAGCAAACCGGTCCTCGTGGTAATAACACTCTGTCTTTCTTAGTTGGATTTCCGTCCTTTCGTCTCCCCACTCCTTTGTCCTCTCTGCCCTCTATCCTACGACTGCTATTCCCCGAAATATACTAACTGTGTGCCTCCATGCTCCTCTCTGCTCGCTCTTCTCC